CCTGCGGAAAAAATGTTGGCCGTTCTACATTGAAAATTGTAAGCAATACTGTAAAACACTAGTGCGAATAAGTAATTATAGCGTCTTCATTATTCATTTTTATCAAATTTACAACTTTCCTAACAGATTGTGAAGAATTAAATAAAATCATTTTAAATAGTTTCTTACATGAATTGTCACAATATTCGCTGTGCAACCGATAAAATTTCGGTTATCAAGGCAGATTAATTGTTTGTTGCTTAGAATATATATGTCAGTTTCTCACGAATCTCACTATCTAAATATTGGCGGCGTTGTTCGTTTTTGTCGTAGTTCCTTATCGCCTCCTTGTTGTTGTCGTCCTAACCGAAATTCGTGAGTTATTTTGATGCGCAAACGTATGCCTTTGGGCTGTAGTATATCAAAATATATTCTTTTCAGTATATCACAACAACTTTGGTTGGGTCTAGTCTCTAATTCTGTATCTTCTGTCGATTTGTTGCATGGTTGGTATGTGAGATAAAGGGTTATTGTTCCATCATGGTTCTCTTCCACCTTATCTGTCAACACTCCATGTCGGATGTCACACTCAAAGAAGTTTTCGGCGTGTAATTTATTGACATAGCATTTCGTGTATCTTGCTTCATAGACAGGATCGTCGCATTTGTTTTCAAATTTTACAAAAGCAACTACTGCTATGTCCATGGGATTACCGTTGAACTTGCAATTTTTATCAAGACAGGAGCCAGTATGAGTTTCTCCTTGCTTGTTATCAAAGTTATCAAACCCTGGTGGAACATGGTAGAATGCAGCGCAGAATTGTTCTCTAGATCCAAGAGCTTTTTTTTTGTTCAATGTGTTAATTTCTGTGATATGCCCATCTTCACGGGGATAAATTGGAAAGCAGTGGATATCATGGCAATTGTCTCGAACTCCGGCCATCGTTCTGTTCAAATGAATAAGCTATATGTAAGGTTTTGCTATATATGCTATGTTTATGCTGTGCTAAACTACTATTACGACTTAAGCGTTAGCATTGCATGCAGTGCGATAACTATAACAAAAAAAAACGTTTTGTGTTTATAGTGAACACGGGATTCGAAGCGGGACTTATGACTTATTTTCAAAGATAACGAAAAAGGAGACCTTTATTACAGAGATATTAAGAACTATAATCTCACATTTATTCTGACAATGCAGAGAACAGAGGGCCGTAGCGAGGGGGGGGGGGGGTTAACCCCCAACTTTTTTAGAATTAATATATTCGGAAAATCGGGTTGGCCATTCGGAAAATTACCGGCAATAATAGTATAACGAAATTTTAGTTGTTAAACAGAGAAAATATTATAGAATTGTATTGTCAGTATAAACTGATTTACGAAGTCATGCTATTTACATGGATAACAATTTACAAATCGTGAATCGGTAAATGTTTTTCGGTTTATTACTTGTAATAAATCAATATGTCTATGCGTAAAATATCTCTGCAATATGTCTATGCGTAAAATATGCGTATTTGTGTTTGTATTTTTGTTTATATTTTTTGTCCGTATTTTCTTTGTATTTGGTCAATAATTGGCTCAATTCTCTCAATTATGACTGTATGACACACTTGATATTGTAAGTGCGTCTAATAAAAAACGGCTTTAATATTTATAATGTATTGCGTCTTCATTTTCGGGATAACAAACACCTTCGTGGCTTCGTATGCCATGAAAGATTCGCAAATTCTTTCGTCATTCGGAAATTTTTGCCCGACCCCCCCCCCCTCCCCCCTCCCCCAACTATACATCTAGCTGCGGCCCAATTTA